TCTCTACAAAAAGTTAGAAAAAATTAGCCAGGCATGGTGGCACACACCTAAAATACCAGTTACTTGGGAGGCTGAGCCAAGGAGGATTGTTTGAGCCCAGGAGTTTGAAGCTGCAGTGAGCTATGATTACACCATTGCACTCCAGCCTGGGCTACAGAATGAGACCCCGTCTCAATATCTATCTATCTAATCTATATTTATACTTCCATATATATATGGAAGTGTGTGTGTATATATATATATAAAATATATGTGGAAGTATATTTAAATATATGTGGAAGTATATATATTTATATATTATATATGGAAGTAATATGTATATAGAAATATAAATATAGATATATATGGAAGCATAAATATAGATATATATAACACACACATGCATGCACACACACACACACACACACATATATATGGAACCTAGTTCCTTATGACTGCTTATGTATCCTTATCCTAAGTTTTCAATGAGAAAGGGATGATGTAGAATAAGGAAACAAATTGACCAGTATGTAAAATTTTGTTGTATATTTTCGTTTCGTCTATTTCCATAGCCTCAAAAATCTTACAATGTTTGTTCTGGGTGGTTTCCTTTCTATGACATATGCTCGAGGTCACAAGAATAACACAGCCCACCACCTCCTCCAGTGCTTGTTCTTATTTTCAATTTATCAAAAATTGTAGTTGATGTTGGATGATGAGAAAGGCAATGGTCTTTTTCTACTCAAGCTAATTTCTGTCATTATTCCTAGTTCAATGTTTGTCTAGTGCAATAGACATGTCCAAAAGGGTGTCCACATTTGTCAAAAAGGAACACTTTCCAGTTCCAAAATTAGAGGTGAAACCTGTTGTACCCAGCTCTGCCGAACATTCCACACTCCTCAGTGGAGGAAGGAGTTGGCTCCGTCCAGGCAAGGTCTGAGGATCTGGAAGGTGTTCAGCCCCCACAGCTATTGGCACGGTGTGAGGATATTTCAGGAGTGCCGCAAAGGACTGAACTTTGTGTGACTGACTGGGAAAATGTTCTGCCTGCACAATCACACATTAAAACTTTTGGGAAAGTGTCATAAATAATACAGACAGCAAATCTGTTAACCTCTTCTGGACAGGACAACATGTCTTGCTTATTTTAACACATGCTGCATGTATCAGTTAGCAAAGCTCTTATTCCACCGCCAACTGAACATCACTGCAGCCTTAATTTGAAAACCAACCCTAGACTTTCCATGATGTCATGGAATATCACATGTGGAAAATGCATTGTTCCAGTTCCCGCCTTCACACGGTGAGTGTTTAACTTACTCAGGGCACAGTACTTTTTTATGCATGACCTGAGTATCTTCAAGGAAGTCCACGATCTCCAGTGTTTGCGATCCGACATTGACCTTGCACACTATTGTGATTTATATTGTGCTAGAGTGAGTTGTATCCATGAGTAGAACAAAAAAGACATGGAAAGAAAGACAGCAATGCCTTTTGCATTAGTCCGTTTTCATGCTGCTGATAAAGACATACCTCAGACAGGGTAATTTATAAAGAAAAAGAGGTTTAGTGGACTCACAGTTCCACCTAGCTGGGGAGGCCTCACCATCATGGTGGAAGGCAAAAGGCACATCTTACATGGTGGCAGGCAAGAGGCAATGAAAGCCAAGTGAAAGGGAAACCTCTTATAAAACCATCAAATCTCGTTAGACTTATTCACTACCATGAGAACAGTGTCGGGGAAACCATGATTCAATTAATTTCCATGGGGTCCCTCCCACAACACATGGGAATTATGGGAGCTACTATTCAAGATGAGACTTGGGTGGGGACACAGCCAAACCATATCACCTTCTCTGGCAGTGTGGCAGAACAGAAAGAGCACAGACTGAAAGCCAGGCAAAGCAGGTTCCAGCCCTGCTCCTTACTTGCTGGCTGTGTCACCTTGTCCAAGTAATGTAACCTCTTTGACCTCAGTTTCCTCATCTGTAAAGTGAGGATAATACTAGTCTTATGTAATTGGATCATGAATAGTGATAGAACTAGTTATTATTTATTGAGCACTTACTATGTAGAGTATTTGGCCCCAGCACAATATGTGGTATAACTCACTTAATATTCTCAACCACACTGATAGGTTCTATTGTGATCCTGAAGAACCTGCGGCACAGTAAGAGCCATAAAGGGAGCCACTGTGATCAATAATCATGATGGTGCTAATATTGTTGTGACAACATTGACAGCTAACAATGAAAGGAAGTAAAACTAACAGGAATTTCTTCACTTAAAAATATTATAAAAGCAAGATTTATATGAAAAAATAGTCAGTAGGGGAAAGACACATCATTCTTTATATTTACACTTGAATTTTTACCCCATGCGTCTTTCTCCAGATTGAAAGGGACTAGCACACCGAACAAGAAAAGACCCATCCCAAGTCACAGCATCAAGGACTTTAGGAACACCAAAAAGCAGACAAAATCCCAGAATCTTCCCAAAATGGATAAACAAGACAAGAAAAGCTGCTTACATACAAAGAGATGTCAAATAGCATTAAAGTCTCCAACAGGAAATTAAAAGAAAATGGAGAAATGTCTTTGAATTTTTGAGGCAAAATTATTTCCAACTTAGAATATTAAAAATGGATAGATTATCAGTTAATCTTGATTGTTATAGGATATTCCAAGGCTCAGAATTTTACCTCCTATACTCTCTTAGAAAAATATTGGAGAATGTGTTCCAGAAAAAAAGAGGAAGTAAATGAAGAAACAGGAATATTTGAGATACAGGAAATAGAATATGTAGCAAACTAAGAAAATTCCCAGAAGATAGTGAAGGAATGTTCCAGAATGACAGCTGTGCAGCAGCCCTAGATAGCACATTCATATTTGACCAACTGGGGCAAAAGCTGTAGGAGAGAAATCTCCAGAGAGGAGGAAAACGGAACTGACTGATCTGCTGTCTTTAGGTTTGGGGAAAGTTATTTTTAGTTGTTTGACAGATATGTTACAGCATTAGAAAAAAATATATACTGATAGATACAAAGAAACTAAGCAAATAAAAATATAAAGAAAGCAATTATTAATTCTAGGAAGAATAAAAATTGTACAAAAAGGAAACAATCAAAATATACTAACTGAAGGAGAATAAAAACTATTTACCTAGCCTTACTAACATAAACAATGATTGCTGTTTTTGCCAAAAACTAAAATCTAACTCTATTGGGCAGATGGGATATGGAAGGTAGGGCATAAGACAATGGCAGCCTCACCTACCATAATATGAAGCTTACATTGTCTAAAATTCATAAACCAAGAGACTATACCTAAAATGTGGAGAAACAGCTGAAATAACTGAACATGGCTGCTGCTGGGTAGTCTATTCGTGAAGCAAAGAGGAATGGGAGGGGGACTGTTGGTTTTCAACAATAAGGCTTTTAGATTTTTTAATTTTAAAATATGTACAGGCCAGACGCAGTGGCTCACGCCTGTAATCCCAGCGCTTTGGGAGGCCAAGGTTGGAGGATCACTTGAGGTCAGGAGTTCAAGACTAGCCTGGCCAATATGGTGAAACCCCATTTCTACTAAAAATACAAAAATTAGCCTGGCGTGGTGGCATGCACTTATAATCCCAGCTACTGGGGAGGCTGCGGACTACAGAGTAAGAATCGCTTGGACCCAGAGGCAGAGGTTGCAGTGAGCTGAGATCATGCCATTGTACTCTATCCTGGGTGACAGAGTGAGACTCCATCTCACAAATAAATAAATAAATAAATAAATAAATAAATAAAGCAATGGGAAGGGAAATATTTAAGGCAGGCAAATAACAAATCATTTTTTTTAAATTACTGGTTACCAATTTGAAATGAGTTCCTAATAAGATTTATTCTTTCTCTTTGTGCCTTAGAAAGGAAACCCATGAATACACGTGCCTATAAGAGAGGAAAGAACTAATATATTGAGGAGGAAACAGAACATTTCCAAACAGGCTGAAAGCTCTTCCTGGTGTGCATAACAGGGACTCACAGGTTGGAGGTCTGTTGTCTTCTTTGGGACAGGGGAGGGTTTAGGGCAAATGAAGAACGTGGAGAAAGAAAAATGTAGGGATGTAGGGTTCCTTCTTTCCTAATTGGAGATAAGTTTGTCTCTGAATTAATACTCCTCTCCTTCTTCTATGCTTTAATAACTATTTGTGCTACATATGTTTCCAAGTGTTCTGAATTTCTGGGCAAAATGATATTTAAAACCTCATTTCCATTTGTCCAATGCATTATGAAATTTGAAGGCTTGTGCACCACTATGGAAACTATGGGTCACAGGTAGATTATTCTGAAGCAATGGTTGCCATTTTGATATCACCATTATTTATGGTACCAGAAGTTTTGAAGTCCCTTCAGCTATGAAAAAAGAAGAACAATACACTAGCTTTTCTGTAAGACAAATATAGACACTGACTATTTATTCCACAATTTATACAGCCATTTATTTTTTAATCATTTCTAATTATATTAATAAGAATTCTAGGAATAAAGAAGCCCTGCTCTAGAGTATTATTTTATCTTAAGTTCTAAGTCTGGGTTTCAGCTTCTGTCCTCTGAAGTGGAAGAGCAAGGAATGAGTCTTTCCTAAAGTTCTGATAGCTCTCCTCACCCAGCTTGTCTTACCATTGCTTTTTACCAGCCAGCTGGCTCTGTTGGCTCATCTCTTCCAATGTCCTGCTGGGGCTAATCACCGCAAAGAGTACCACATAAATTAACTATTTTTTGTAAGAGACAGGGTCTTGCTCTGTGACCCAAGCTGGAGTGCAGTGGTGCGATCATAGCTTACTGCAGCCTCAACCTCCTGGGCTCGAGGGATCCTCTTGTCTTAGCCTCCTGAGTAGCTGGGACTACAGATGTTCACCACTATGCCTGGTTTAAAAAAATTTTTTTAAAGATATAGGGTCTTGCTATGCTGTCCAGACTGCTCTTGAACTTCCAGCCTCAAGTAATCCTCTCCTCCTTGGCCTCCCAATGTGCTGGGATTACAGGGATGAGCCACCACACCTGACCACTAATTTTAGTTTAATGGGATTGAAAATAAACATGAACACAGAAAGTGTATAAAATGTATTTCCTTTATATACACACCCATGCATGCACATACTCTGTGGTATACACTTCTGCATTAGAAAACCTCTGGTTCCAAGTAAAGAAGCCTGGATGAAATTTTGTAAATTCAGTTTAGCACGTAATCTACATGATTGAGTCATGAATAAGACCCAGGCCATGTTCTTACAGAGAACTGGTTTTTATGAGAACAGCTAGTGGTCCTCACTTGTCATAGAGGATGCTCAGGCAATTTGGTCCATTTTATCTTCCCACACAGGAAGACTTCACTAATAAAATGACAGAAAAAGTATTTTCATTCAACAAATATTTGTGAGCACCATCTTCGAGGTGCTGAGGATTCAGTAAGAAGCCAAAATGTACAGAAAGCCCTACCCTCCTGAAACCTACCTTGGGGTGGAAGATGACATGAGGAGAGTCGATGGAAAAGCAGATTTCCTTTTATAGAAATGTCCCGGTGAGTCAGTTTGTAAGATGCTTCTCATAAAATGTCAAAAATGTATACAGATATTTGCTAAGTAAAATATTTCTTGATTTAGAAAACTTCTGGTTAGAGATTGGTTAACTTTTACGGTTAAAATTTTATTAAAGCGTAATAAAATCCTATTATTCAGCAACTCAACTATACTATTGATTTGATTCTGGTGCAAACACATGCAGTGTTTACATTTAACTTCTTATGCCATGGAGAACCTAAAAATAAAATGTTGTACCCCAATTCTCATATCGTAACATGATTCTACTTAGATGTAGCAAGATCTCTGTTTCTGTAACATGGGTTTTATATAATTTCAGTGCTAATGTCTGAGATTAATCAACTACTATCAGCTGAAGGAGGTGTTACACTTATCACATGAGAATCCTCTACTTTCCCTGCACAGCAGCAGTGATAACATCAAGAAATAGAACAATAAATCCGGAGTCAGAATAATCATTCCGATTTTTTAAGTGGGACAAAGATGTGGGAAAAGATGGGTGAAAAAGTACCCAATTAATTCAGTTGACATGTTATACACAGTAGTACTACTGTGCCTCTTCTTGTAAGGCAAATGGCAACCAGGATAAGAAGGTGGAACCTGGGGCTGCCAGGGAGTCACGGTCAATATGGAAGAGCCCCTAGCATGACAAGTTTCGGAATGTATGTTCCTCCTAAGTTGCTTATCAACGTAAGGATTAAGACAGCTAGCGGAATATGGTTAGGCTGGTTTTTTTTATTGTGTTTTGTTTTAATCAAGGCAGAGAACAGAGGAAGTTATTTATAGTATGGTACTAAAATAAAAGACCCATGGGTGAGGCAGTGGCTGTTAAATTTTGGTGTGCATCAGAATCACCCAGAGGGCTTGTTAAAACACAGATGGTGGGGCCCCCAGAGTTTCTGATGCAGATCTGGTGTGGTGCCTGAGAATTTGTTTTTCTAACAATTTCCAGGTGATGCTGGTACTGATGGTCCAGGGATCATATTTTGACAACCATTTGGGTGAGTAGATATACAAAAAAGATGCAAAAAAAAAAAAAAAAAAAAAGGGAGGAGGAGATGACAGGCAGAATTCTATGATGATCCCTGTTATCTGTGTGTCCTTCCCCTTGAGTACAGGGGAACCTGTAAACATGATGGCATATCACTACCACAATTAGGTTAATAAGTTGACTTTGTATAATCAAAAGAGAGATTATCCTGGTTGGGTCTTACCCAATTACGTGAGCCTTTAAAGAAAGGTGACAAGTCAGAGGCCAATCCAGCTGGCTTGGAAGAAAATAAATATCCATGTTGTGAACAGCCTAGGGGAGCCACATGTCACCTATATTTAATTGACCAAGTATTTATTAACTGACTAGTGTTTGCAAGATTCTGTTGGGCCCAACTGTGGAGTTAAAAAACATTCACAGTTCTTTTCCTCAAAAAGCTAACTATCTACTAAGAAGGATAACATAAGAACACAAACAATTTTTCTTCAAGGCAAATTACACTAAGAGTCCTAGGAGAGACATAAGCAAAGTGTTATAACATTTTAAGGAAGAACAGGTCACATCTGGCTGGGAATGGAAACATTTAATAAAGAGGCATGGGAGAAAGTATTAAAAAATAAGATTACCACAGGCAGAGAGACAGGAGAGAGAAGAGCAGAGGGGTTGGATAAAGTGGGATCATATCTTCCAGGGAGAGAGAGAGAAAGAGATCAAATAGACTAAGGTTTGCAGGTGTGAAAAATACAGAGCAAGTAGTCTAGGACAGCTACAGTACCAAAACCAGTGGTGGAGCAGGAGGAGGATAGGATCAGAACAGTCACTAGTAAGGGTTTCTAAATGTTAAGGGAGGATCAGTGTTTGGGAGAAGCAAGCAGGAGTGGATGATGGGGGCCTGTCCATAGAAGTCAGTGGGACTAGAATTCACTGACTGGACATAAGTTGATGATTTACCAAACTCAAATTCTTCTTTTCTGCTAACAGGTCCAGGATTGCTCCGAGAGCCTTATAGTGCCTCGAATTAATTAATTAATTAATTAATTTTTATTTTTATTTTTTGAAACAGAGTCTTGCTCTGTGGCCCAGGTTGGAGTGCAGCAGCACAGTCTCGGCTCACTGCAACCTCTGCCCTCCCGGGTTCAAGTGATTCTCCTGCCTCAGCCTCCCAAGCAGCTGGAATTACAGTCGTGTGTTACCACACCCAGATAATTTTTGTATTTTTAGTAGAGACGATGGTTCACCATGTTGGCCAGGCTGGTCTCGAACTCCTGACCTCAGGTGATCCAAATGCCTTGGACTTACAAAGTGCTGGGATTACAGGCGTGAGCCACAGTGCCTGGCCAGTACCTTGACTTTATACATGTGTGTTTGGGAATATTAAGAATAGCAGTGATGGACTGGGTGCAGTGGCTCACGCCTGTAATCCCAGCATTTTGGGAGGCTGAGGTCGGTGGATCACCTGAGGTCATGAGTTTGAGACCAGCATGACCAACATGGAGAAACCCCGTCTCTACTAAAAATACAAATTTTGTATTTAGTTAGGCACGGTGGTGCATGTCTGTAATCCCAGCTACTTGGGAGGCTGTGGCAGGAGAATCATTTGAACCCGGGAGGTGGAGGTTGCAGTGAGCCGAGATCGAGCCATTGCACTCCAGCCTGGGCCATAATAGCGAAACTCCGTCTCAAAAAAAAAAAAAAAAAAAGAATAGCAGTGATGATATGAGGCACAGGACTCCATCATACTTAGATAACCTCCACAACAAATTGGAAATCTCCTCTATATTTCTCTTGCTGTTTACGTGTACTAAAAACAGCTTATCATAACCTTTATCACTTACACATAAATGTAACGTGGTATCTATATCCCAGTAACTTATCTTCATTGCCAATTTGATGTTCACTGAGAGGGGATTTTTATTTCCTTGGCTTTCCTTTTCTAAGGACAGCAAATTTTCATATTGCTTTTCCTATGCTGGTCATTAGAAATATGGCTATCTCTATGAGTCAGCAGAATTCCTTATCTTTCTGGAACTGGTCAGATGTTTCCTTGTCCCTAATCCTAGGAAGTATCACATGGAGGAAAAGAGATAATGTGTTTTCTGTATGTTGAGTAGCACCTCCTTCCTGTGACATAGATTTTCTTACCTTGTTTTTAATTTCACAGACTTTTCTCGAAAAGCCTTGTTACAATTGCAAACATTTAAAATATTATAATCTCTCTTTAAGCATCACTTCTAGAATTCTTCTAAATTACAGATAACGTATCTGACAGAAAGTTCTCAGTATTTAACAGTATTACTGACCTTCCTCAGCAATACATGGAAAACTGGGCTGTCATAAAACATGGCTTAATTGCAAAGTTTAATGTGAAAAATCAACTTCCATTTTAGGATATGATGGAGGAGCTTAGCATACACCAATGCACCCACAGAGAACACACAGAAAAAGTTAATGAGATACACAAAATATCTGTTCCAGCACATCAGTGGTTTGCTTCCTGAAGCAATCAAGAAGAAGGGAGTCCAAGATTGTGAAGATTCTGGAGAAGTCGAGACAACAGTGGAGAGACTAGCTTGAAATCTGTAGCTGCTTTTACCATGGGTAAATTTGCCAATTTTGGATTCTAAAATCTGAGAATTGCCTGGACAGAGGGCTACTGGGAAAGAAGGAGACCAGCAGAGTTTTTGGTGGTCTTGCAGTACTGGGGCTAGAAAACGAGAGATTTGAAGGGCTAGTGTTTGATTGAAAGGAATGAGTGAAGCACTAGCGTTGGCACAAGAAAGTTTCCCCCACGATAAGTACTGAATTCTGAAGCTGCATGAGATGGAAAAATAAGAAACTAAGAACATAGCACCAGAAAAGGTCTGCATTTCTGATTCAGGACAATAATAATAATAAAGTTAAGAACTAGCCAGGAGAAGCTCCAGTGTACATAGGTTTCCATGCGGAAGCCTTAGAGAGCCACACTCTAGGGAGGTAAATAGAGTCTTTACCTGTGTGAATAAATCTTAGTTCCTGGTTGTATTCGTTATCAATCTTCATTCTATCTACCCAGAAAGGAAAGATGAAACTTCTCTGGAGAAGATTATGTGATCTGGAACCTCTATGATTTTTAATGTATAATGTCTAGAATTCACTTTTTAAAATTACTTAACATGCCAAGAAAAAGATCATAAAATTCAGAACAGGTAGATAAAAAAGATCCCTATATGATTTGGTGATGGGATTTAGCAGACAGGGACTTTGAAATAATTATGATTAATATGGTCAACGAAATAGAAGAAAAGGACAAAAATATACTAAGATACTAAAAAAGGGCAAGAATTGAAATTAGAAACTCAGCATATGGATTTAACAACAGATTATATATGTGAGATTAAAAGCATAAGGAAACCCAAAGTGAGGCCAATTCAATACTGAAGAACAGAGCTAAAAAAAAAAAGTGTAAGATACAAAAGAGTATGAAATAATACATGTGGAACACAGTGAAAATGTCCAAGAAACATGTAATTAAAGTCTCAGAAGGAATAGGAAGAGAGAATGAAACTAAAACAATATTTGAAGAGATAAACATGACTATTCCAGAAGATGAAAGACATCAAACACAAATCTAATGATTTAAGGCTCTGAAAGCCTTAAAAGGAAAAATACAAAAAAGGATAAATATTCCTGGCACACTAGAATAAAACCGCTTAAAAAACACATAGACAAAAAAAAAAATTTTTAAAGCAGCCGGAGAGAAACTTTACTTTCAAAGCATCAGAACTGATTAGTTGATGACTTCTCAACAGTGATAATGGAAAACAAAAATCAATAGTATGACAGAGCTAAGAGTGCTGAAAGATCGTAACTGCTGATCAAAAACTGTAATGCCCAAAGTCCTTCAAAAATTTAAAGTGATGTAAAGATGTTTCAGGAATACAAAAACTGACACTGAGATAATTTGTTGCCAATAGACAAGCAGTTAAAGAAATACATGAGTTCTTCAGACAGAAAGAAAATGATCTTAGACAAAAATATCAGTAAGTTATAAAAAGCAAGAGAAAAAGTAAAATTTTTGATAAATATATTAATAATTGAATATTATCTGTATAAGATGATGATAATGATAATGCTGAGTATTTACAGAGTTTAAACTATATAAAGAATTAAAAGGCAAATAAGAATAAATTTAAAAGTGGGCAGGGATAAATTGAATCTAAAAGTTATTAGGTCTTAGCATTTTCTGAGAAGTATTAAAAGTAATAATCTATATTAGCTTATAATAAGTCAAAAATGTGAATTGCAATCTCTAGGGTAGTTGCTAAAGAAGAGTTAAAGAATGAATAACAAGATAACAGTTGAAACAAAATAATCAAATGATTAATAAAAAAGTGGACAAGAAAGGAGAAGAAAAAAACAAGTGGGTTAAATGGGGAAAAAAAAGAAAGAGGAAAGATTTAAACCCAACAATGTCAATAATTACAATAAATGTAAATGAATAAAATATTCCAAGTAAAAGACTAAGATTTTCAGAGTAGAGGAAAAAAAAGAAAAACAAAACAAACAAATAAACAAATCTATAGTCCTTTTATAAGAGACATATTTAAACATAAGGCACAGGTTAAATGTATAAGTATGAAAAAATAGTTGTTTCAGTTATACTAAGAGGCATTATAAGAGATAATGAAGAACTTTTCATAATGATAAAGGATTCAATCCACCAGGAAATATAAAAATTCTAAATTTGTATGCACTCAAAGACAAAGAGTCAAAATGTATACATCAGAAATTAATAGTACTAAAAGAATAAATTAACCAAATTATAATTACAGCAGGTTTTTTTTTTTTTTTTTTTTTGAGACGGTTTTACTGTGTTGCCCAGGCTGGAGTGCAGTGGTATGATCTTGGCTCGCTGCAAGCTCTGCCTCCCGCATTCACGCCATTCTCCTGCCTCAGCCTCCCAAGTAGCTGGGACTACAGGTGCCTGTCACCACGCCTGGCTAATTTTTTGTATTTTTGGTAGAGACAGGGTTTCACCATGTCAGCCAGGATGGCCCCGTCTCGATCTCCTGACCTTGTGATCCACCCGCTGTGGCCTCCCAAAGTGCTGAGATTACAGGCGTGAGCCACCGCACCCGGCCAGTTACAGAGGAATTTTAACACACTTGTCTAAACAGTTGACAGAGCAAGCAAATCAAACTTAGGTAAGATTATAAAAATCTAAACAACACAATTAACAACTTGGTTTAAAGAAAATACTTAAAAAGGAGAATTTGTATTATTTTCAAATGTGCATGAAGTATTTACCAAATTCAACAATATTATGGGTCATTAAAAATGTCTCAACAGATTGGACATTGAAAGAAAAGAAGAAGAAAGAGATACTGAGATTGTTACAGCATTTCAAGCAAGTAACCTGAGTTTTACTCTAATCTGTCTGATTTGGATCACATGCTCACCTCTTAATTAGTTCACTTCTTAACAAGGCCAGGAGGGTAGATTGAACTGATTAATTTAGTTTGATCCTATGCTCCATCTCCTGAATCTGGGGGCAAAAATGGTCCCATATCTATATGGAACCCCTAAAGAGACATGAGTTGTTTGGAAGAGGGTGATGCGGAGGTTCCCAAACTTACTTTCTTTCCCAATGCCCTTAGTGCCTCAATGATTTTTTCACAGTGCCCATGAATCAAAAGAAACCTCAAACAGGTCTGTTTTTTCTTCCTTTTATTAAGGAGTAACAGTCAATCAACTCAATAATAGTAGTTAATGCAGTGTCCAATGAAAGTCACAATGTTTCTCTTAAAAATTAAAAATATTCCACAGTCCTTCTCTGAAGTCTCTGTGGTGCCCCAGAACACTTCAGTGCACAATTTGGGAAGTGTAAGGGTAATGGCTGATGGGGAGGCAGCCACACATATCCAGACTTCCCAAGTCAACAATCATAAAAAAAATCACACCAATTATTCAGGAAGAAAGGATATAAACTTTCATAAAGGAGAAGCTAAGAAAGTATAGTTGCAGACACCATTTGTCAATATTTCATTTTGAACATCCATAATCTCTAACAAAAAGACCATAGAATGTGGAAGAAGAATGGGGCTCAGGGAAGGGGCAGAAAAGAGATGATAAGCACTCAAACTTGCTTGCTACCCTCTGAGCCAAGAGCTTTGAAAGATGCTGAAAGTTCCTGTGCTTGCATTTGAAACTCCAAGTCCCTGGTTCTCTTCTATACTGGCTCATATGTGGATCAGAGCTCTGAATCAAGATAACTAAACCACTTTGTAGATTTGTGTTCTAGAACTAGATTAATGGCAAATAAGGATATTAAAATGGCAAAACTAGAGAGACAAAAATAAGTATACTTAATAGCTCCTATTTTAAAGGCTATGGTTTTTAATACTAAAATTTAAAACATACGTATAGCTAACTAGGGTAATCCTGATTTCAATGGGTCTTTCTGTCACTTGCTAATACTGTTTCCTAGTTTTCTACAAACCTGCCCCAAGTGTTTCTAGGAGTTCCCAAAGGCTGTCTTACAAGAGCTCACTAGCAAATCACGTTATTTTTCACCAAGAAAGTCAGAGTAGAAGAAGAGAATTCACCATCATAAATGGTTTTAATCCCTTTTTGTTTTGTGTGTCCCTCCACCAGTTATCACCACATCCAGGAGGCACCGCTGTGTCCCCTGGGCATATCCAGGCCAGGCCTGCCAGGCACATAAGGCAGCACCACATTATATGTGCACAGCTGGACACTACTGTCTCTTCACTCAGGTACCATTTCATCTACAGAACACAGTTGCATGGTTTTCCATGAGATGAGATACAGAATGCCTTTTTCCTATTGTGTACTACAGTATCATTGAAGGGAACCAAGTAAGTACTTTTTGTGTCCCAATATTTTATAGTGATGTTAGTGAAATGGTTTGAGTCAGTTGGGGTTCGATCAGGAGACAAAATCTGTTCCAGTTATTTGAACAAAGATAATTTAACATAAAGGATTGCTGCTATGGTTGGAATGTCTGTTTCCCCTCAAGAGTTATATATTAAAGCTAATCACCAATGTGATGGTATTAGGAGTGAGCCATTGGGAGATTATTCGGTCATTAGGGCAGAGCCCTTATGTATGGGATTAATGCTGTTTTATAAAAGAAGCCCCAGAGAGCTGCTGTGTCCCTTCTGCCATGTGAAACACAGTGAGAAGTTGCCATCTGTGAACCAGAAGGCAGGCAGGCCCTCCCCAGACAATGAATCTGCTGGTCCCTTGATCATGGACTTTTCAGCCTCCAGAACTGTGAAAAATAAATGTCTGTTGTTTCTAAGTTATCTAGTTTATGGTATTTTATTATAGCAGCCTTCCATCCTTCCAGGTTCCCTACAGCGGCTCCCCTCCCCATACTGGCAGAGCCTAGCAGGATGCCAGCTGGCAAAGCAGAACTGAGGTCTGCAGGGTCCCAGCCACAGCATCACAAAGCAGAGGCTAGAAGAGGGTTTGGTGCTTAACAACTGGCATATGGTTCATTTAGTTTATTTACTTGCAGGTCTAACACCTACAGAGGACTTAAGTTCACAGAGGCGTGAGGTGGAGAGTAACAAATCATCTGCTATATTTAATAGTTTCCTTTTCTCAATAACTGAGTTTTGGTTGCTGAGGCAACTTCCCTATGACTCTCTCTTTCAGATTCTCTTCTCTTCCAATGAATTCTTTCCCAGGAGCTTCCTTGGCCATTCATGCAAATAGACTTCGGTTGGACATACTCCAGCCTTTCCCCAAAGAGCCAGCATTCCAGTGCGATACACACTAGCTCAAATTAGGAACTTCTCTCACACTAGCATGCTGGAGAGTGCTGGTTCACGGGTGGTACAAGAGGTATCCGTAATAAATTAGTTTGTATTCCTTCTCACCAATGATACAGTTCCAGCTTGAGATTTTATAAAATGAGATAATCTCATTGGAGCATTCAGTCAGAGGTTTAGGTTGGTGCAAAAGTAATTGCGGTTTTTGCCATTGAAAGTAGTGGCATAAATGGAGTGAAATGGACTTGAGATTAAGGAGATAGTATTTGTAGGCTTTGGGGACCATTTTGAGAGAGGCATAAGGAAGATAAATCAAAGTCGACATGCAGGTTTCTGGCTTGAAAAAATAGGATACATTTTGGTGTCATTCACAAAGAAAGGGGATCCTGAGGCTGAAATATATCTCAGATGTAGATGCACTGACTGTAGCTTTTTGGGGAACATCTTCATAGATCTGTCAAGTAACCAACTGAATATACAGATGTGAAGCTCAGGAGAGAAATCCAACTGAATAATCAGCATTTAGATGAAATAAACTATGTAAATCTATAAGATCACCCAGAAGGAAAGTTGGGTGGCATGTAAGGAGAAGCTGGCCATAGACAGAACCCTGAAAAACAGAAAAATTTAATATACCAAAAGTAAAAACAAAAAAAGACCTCAAACTGAGCAT